TATAGAACCATGCGATGGAGGTTTGGCTTTTAGCCTTGTGCCTCAGTGAGTCTAACACTAGCTTTGGTTGGTAGACCCCCTGAAACCTACATGTGGCCTCCCAAAGGCTTCAGAGCCCTAATTGAGAACCACTGGTTTAGCACACGCTTCAGAGCCCTAATTGAGAACCACTGTAGCACATAATTCATTAGCCTCAGAGAATTAACTTCTTATATAGGCAAGAGCATAATACCCTCAAAAAGGGTTTCTAGCCCACCTGGTAAGAGAAAATCTTGAAAACAAGATACCAAATGACAATTACAAGGCAAATAAAAAGAATCCTACAGTTATTATCTTGGGTTTTTTTTTAAACTAATCAGCTGGAGGAGGGGAGCAACTCATGAGTTTGGAATGGAATACTGGTATTGTCTAAAGATATTTGATTGGGGAAGAATCTGCCATGTCCAGATTATCTGCTCAATAAAGGATAAAAACCTATTTCTGTTGAAGTCCGCAGGAAAGGGAGAGCTGGTTGAGCCATTGAGTGGTCTAATCTCATCATTTCCCACCTGTGGTCTGCAAAGTCCCGGAAGTCCACATGCTGAGTCTAAGGGAGTCTGTGAGAGATTGTCATTGCCATAGAACAATGGTTTTCAACCTGTGATCTGAAAAAGCGATGAGGAGTCCTGTGGCACCTTATAGACTAACTTCAGTTAGTCTATAAGGTGCCACAGGACTCCTCGTCGCTTTTGCAGATTCAGACTAACACGGCTACCCCTCTGAAACCTGTGATCTGTGGACTGGTTGGGAGCCACAGACTGTATCTAAGATTTCCAGTTGAAAATTTGTAGCAGTCCACAAGTGAAAAAAGTTTTAAAGCCACTGATCCAATTTAAAATCATCATCATCATCATCATAAATCATAATCATAAAAATTCTGTGCCCCCTGGTGGACAAAATTTATAACAGCAATTATACCAATAATACCATATTCTCTGCTCCACATATTTGGCCCTAACTGAATTTTTCAGTGACATGTATGTTAGTGTTGATCACTAAACATTCTGATGAATGTTACATTAAAATTGTGTGTACCCTGTGAATTGGAGAGGGGGCTTGTTTCTCTTCTGCTGTAAATTATTATAAACACTGAATCTGCGTTCCCTTGCAGAATTTGTGACATTAAAAGCATCAGCAACTAGGGCCAATTCACACATCTAGTGGTTTTCTGGCTCAGTGCTCTTTAAGTAGAATGGTATTGGACTAGCTTAGTCCTTAAAGGAAAAGTTCATGTATTCTTGCATAGAAGAGTTGGCTGAAGCTGTCGTGATGGTAGGACACTGATGCTACAGTAGCTAGCTCCTGACGCAACTGATTATCACCACCACCACCCCAAAATTTGAAACAGCTCCTCACCCAATAACTCTCAATCCCTTCTAGCCACCAGCTTAGGGCACTGGGAGAGCAGATCCCTCATCAATTACTGCTCCACCTTGAACCATCTCCTGCTACCCTGCCTTCTAAGGTGTTTGCTTTTTTATATATAGTTTTTGGGTCCTGGCCTGCAACTAGAGCATAGTAGATCCCAGTTGCTAGCTGTGATAATCAAATTAAAATAGAATGGATATTGTGTATTTGGTTCCAGCAAATAGGGATTTTGCTAGTGATAAGCTACTTTCTGTTTTTACAGTATATCTTGTAAAGAGTTCACTGTGCCGCCCTATCTGAGACCTTCAATGCACATTAACAGTTAGGCCATTTCCTGCAGCCTTTATTTATGTGAGCAATCTTGTGGATTTCAATGAAGTCCTTGGAATCAGATCTTTGTTATGAATATTGATGTATTTCCTCTAGCATGTGGGGTATGAAAAGAATTGGTTTCAACAGCTTTTCCATCCTCAAAATCTTTGCTCTATCATGTTAATTTAACTCCCCCTTTCTCTTTGAGCTTTTTCAGCTCTGCCAAAATGTACCCACTGGGTGGATATGACCTTATGGGATCCCATTTCTCAGGGTTGCCTGCACTTAGTGGAAAATGCAAATTACACGTGGAGAAAAGGCCGTTAGCAGATGCCCTCCAAATAATACTAATTTTCTCATGCTGCTCCACATTCCTTTTGCTTTAGAAAGGACTGGCCTGAAACAGAGAGAGTCTGGAATGTAACAACCTGCCTCCACTAAGATGGACAATATGATCACTTTGTTTCTTAGGACAGAAGGGGGTGTTTCTAAAGGTGCCACTGTGGGCGTTCTCCTGGATCTAAACAAGCACAACCTGACCTTTTACATAAATGGGCAGCAGCAAGGACCTCCAGCATTTGAAAATGTGGAAGGTGTCTTCATGCCTGCATTAAGCCTCAACCGAAATGTACAGGTAAATCTTTTTCAGTTCTAACTCCTTCTGCATGCCAACCAAAGGAGAAATCCTACTCCAACCAAAATTATTCCTTGACTGCCACAGAGAAGAGGTCAAGATGCAGCTGATAGGTGTAAATATGGATTTTTTTTTAAACTTTGCCTAGTTTTGTTTGCTGATTGCATCTGGACTAATGCAATTTAAAAAAAAAAGAAAATAATTGGATTTAACTTTTTTGTATCACATCTCAGATATAGGGAAGTGCTTTAGAAATAATAAATAGGTACGCACATAAACACGCACGCACAGAGTAAGCCCCAGCGTTGCTTTGTTACTGCTCTTCCATCCAGGAAGCAGCAATGTTCTAAGGTTAACTTTATTGTCTGGAGTAAAAGTACTGGTATATAAATACTCTTAGACCTTCTCTGTTTGGAGATAACTAACTGCTGCAAATAAGTACAATTTCAGCACCATGATAGAAAATAAAGCTAAGAAAATGTAGGTCAAAGAATGTTTAATTATAAAGAGAAGACCCAGTAAGTATTTCATTTGCACTCTTTAATTCATGACATTTGCACATATATATTCTCTTGGGCTCACAGTGTAAGCTACCTCCATCCACTCTGCCTACTCTAGGGAACTAGAGTTTATATATTAAATAAGAGGTTATTTCTTTTCTGCACAGGTGACTCTGCACACAGGACTGGAGGTGCCACAGAGTGTAAGACAGCCAAAGCTGCCCAGTAACTAACTGAGGTCCTGCTGCCTAACCCTATGCTGGATTTTGTAATCTTTCCAAATGCAATTGGTCATTATTCACTGTTGGTAACAAAGCAACATCCCTAAATTAGACTAACACTTATGCAGAACATTGCTAACTAGCAGTGTATGATCTGATCATTAATATTTATGCACATCCATTTTTAATTTTACTCTGGTAACAAGAATATTTATAAAATAGGGTTTTTTGCATTTAAGAATAAAAAGCACATACATACAGCACACTACAGACACATAGTAACAGCTACAATGAGCACATTTTCCCTTTCATGATTGGATCTGTGCTTACTATGATTATTATGAATGGCTAATTAATAGTGAGGATAATTAACAATCAGAACAATTTCTATAGGGATGTGATGGCTTCTCCATCACTTGAGTTCTTTAAATCAAGAAAGTGATCTTTTAAAAGCTATGCTATTGTTCAAACAGAAGTTATGGGCTTGAACCAGAAATTGCAAAGTGACGTTCGTTGCCTTATGATATGCAGGAGGTCAAACTATGGGTGCATCTATACAGCACCCATGCAATTTGCGCTATGCAGTTTGCATATCTTATTTCGATTCTATTTCCAAATAGCTTATTTTGAAATTTGGCACATCTACACCATGCCAAATTTCAAAATAACATGCTATTACGTGACATCCCGTAACCCTCGTGGAACAAGGGTTACAGGGATTCCGAAATAGCGCACCCTTTGTTTTGAAAAAGTATTTTGAAATAACAGGCAGCTTTTGTTAATACGCAGGGTTGCTATTTCAGGACATCTCCACTATCTTGAAATAGCTGTCCTGTGTAGATGTACCCTGTGTGATCATAATGGTCCCTTCTGGCCTTAAATGCATTACTCTATGAATTATGCTCCCACCAACTAGGCAACAAGATTAGGCCCTCAGTACTTTTATACAATGTTTGTGCTCATTGTAGCTAGCACTAGGGTACATATCTTTGGGGAGTTAAAAATGCTCAATAAACCTTAGTGCTTCTCATTTCAGTGTGACTGCAGTGGCTTTTGTTGTCACAAATGGGAGAACTCATTTCAGGTACCAGCAACAATCATCTTCTGAAAAGGGAGCAGAGGAGAGTCCAAGTGATCACAGATATTTCTTTGAAAATGGTATATAGTACACACAAAATAGACTGTGTTGGGAAGAGGAGTGATACTTTATAGCCTTTTACCTGATAGATGCTGAGCATCTGCAGCGCCCATAGATTCACTGGGAGTTGTGGATGTACAACACCGCTTGTGATCAAAGGTCTTAATTTTCTAGTCAGGTGGGATGAACGAACTGAGGCTCCAATACAGCAAAGCACTTAAGCACATGCTGCTGTAGTGCTTTGCTGAAGTGGAGCCTAAGAATCTTGTAGGTTTTGACTTTGTCCTGCACCTCAGGAATTTTGTGGTCACCTGAAACGTATGAAAATGAGAAGCCTTATGAAATGGCATCCACAAAAGTAAATGTCCAATTAGCCACTGAAGGGTTCAATCCTTGGCAATACTAGATAGCATCTTTACCAGCATGCCATCAGCAGTAAATATTTTTATTCTCAATTTCTTTGTCACTTAACAAAATAATGTGTTTGTGTATTTTCGTGAGGGAAGGGCAGTTAACTGAGCTAATTTATAGTAACAAGCCCCCAGAGATTGCACCATGACACTGCATCTAGAACTTTGTCCTCATGATCCAACCCAAATGTAGTGCTGCTGCTAGACAGAAACACCATAGCCTGCTGCAATCTATTTTTACCTTACTTCCTTTTTAATCACGCTTCCTGCACACACGTGCGCACACCCATACATGTGTATGCACATGCTCTTTGTAAGTATGGCACACAGACTTCAATATGTGCGGTGAGTAAACCTGAAAGCAATTTTTAAACCAAAAATCCAGCTCATTGCCTTGTGTAAAACTTTAGACACAGCTCTTCATGGATAGGCTGCTGGAAATCAGGCACATTGCTGCAGGCGCACATATGATCTCCAGCTTAAGTGCATCCCCCACTACAGGCAATGCCATGTGATGGCAGAGGATCTCGCACTTGTATACAGGAAAGGTGCCATCTTAGGCTATGTCTACACCTCAAGGTTATTTTGAAATAAGTTATTTTGAAATAATAACTCCCGAAATAACCATTTCAAAATAGCACATGCTCGCTAATGCTAACCTGCTAAATTAGCGTGAGGCAAGCTCTCTTAATGTGGACATACTATCTCGACTTAAGTGCCCCCAGAAGCACTGGGGAGTAATTATTTTGAATGACTCGGGAGTAGTTATTTCGAAATAGCAGCAGCTGAGTGTCCACACAAACCCTACTTTGAAATAGCAATTTCGAAATAGGTGTTATTCCTCGTAAATTCAGGGGTTATTTCAAAATAATGAGCTTGATGTGTGGATGCTCACTTTGTTATTTTGAAATAACGGGAATTATTTGGAAATGACTCTGTAGTGTAGACACTCCCATAATGAACAGCCATTGAGGAGGGATGAAAAATGGGGTATTAGAGCAACCCACAATGAAGGAGTAAGTCAAAAGCAATCTATAACCATCTGTGCAGGATATATAGTGCCACCCATTTGTTTTACCCAGCCTCCCTTTACAGAACAGAAATGTAGCTTCTTTTTAGATCAGAACTGAACTAGAAAGCATAACAAAAATAAACCTCTGTTAAGTGGGAAAGCAGATATGCTTTCCTCTAAGACTGTGATATGTTACTAGTGTATTTTAAGGCGTGGAAATAACTGTGGTGTACTACGTTGAGTTTGTTAAATGTTTAGCAGGGACCAGCTATTTATTGTTTTCTCTGTTGTTTTTAAATACCACCTGACCCTGTGCAGGATTTTTAATTCAGTGGGTCTGTTTTAAGCCTACCTCAGCTACAATGCTACAGGACCCTGAATTTCCTCTTGAGCGTGCTCACTGTAAAGTTGTCTTCCGTGAACATAGAAGTTGTAACAGTAGCCTTCACTTAAGTACAGCTTTACAGATCAGCACATGGGAACGCTGTGTTTTAAGTTGCATATGAATTTTTATACTGTGTAACATCCTGTGACAATTTTGATACAAGAAAGCACGCCTCTTAGTTTTCTTATTAAAAACAAGAACACTGCATAGGACATAAGGACTGAACTTCTGTCTTTACATGGAATATCCGTGAAATAAAAATTCACATGAATTTAAATCCTTCCAATCCACAACTACTGCCAGATGTTTATAGTGCATTCTGAAAGGGTTTTGGAATTGCTTTTGATATTTATGTTGTTTTTGTAAGTGCTTCTGTATCATTCCTTGTGTGTCACTCCTCGGGGTGAAGTTGAAGTAGATTTTTCTTTTTTGTTAATGAAAAATACAGAGTGATTCACATTTCAAATAGTTAATGAAATGTGTTAGGGACAGACTCCAAATTTGTGCAGAAACGCATGGACTTCTCTATTGCTATTCTCTACTCATTCTGGCACTGATAAAAGTGTGATGCAGGTTAAGCTAGTCTGCAGTCCCCTTCCAACCTAGAGAAACTGTAGAATGGCAATTAGAAATATAAATCCTGTATTAACACTGTTGATTTGATTTGGATTAAGTCTATAGAGGGTGAGTCTATTTTTGGTTGTGTATGTATTTTAAGGATTAAATTTGAAATGAGACTGAGTTGCCCGTATGAAAAAAAAATTAACGGCTTACGCTGCATGCGTTTTGGTAGCTTATCTAACAGTGGTAATAAAAACATAATTAGAACTAGATTATGAAACTAGTTTTACATAGGAATACACATGCAGAAATCCCATGGACTTTAGTAGGAATCTTGTGGGGGGTGGGGACAGGACAAAATGGGTCCCTTTAAGACCAGCACTGCATGAAGAATGAAAGCAATTCCCTCCGCTGTTCAGGCTGGAAGTAATTCACTCCACTGCAGATCACTAAAGACCTGCATGGATACAAAATGTGTATCTGCTTCTGTATCCACAAAAATGAGCTGCAGATATCCACATTCACATCCTCAGATGTGGATACCTCCAGATATAAAGTGGATAGCTGCAAGTATCCAGGGTTCTAGATACAAAATTTGTATCTGCATCTGTATCTGCAAAAATGAGCTGTGGGTATCTGCATCCACAGCTGTAGATGTGGGTACCTGTGTATATAAAGTGGATATCTGCAAATTTGCCAGGCTCTACAGATCACTAACACAAATGGCCCTTCCATCCACAAAGCCCTGCAAGCTCTGTGTTCCTCTTCTCAACAAGGGATATTAAATATTGGTTAACTGAATAGTCGATTAACCTCATGAATTCTTATCGGTTAGTCAACTATTCTATAGTCCCCGGGGGTGGGGCTGACAGCCAGTGGGCTCCAGCCCCACTCCGAAGGAGCCCCCTGCCACTTTGCGCTGCTGCCTCTGTATCAGAGGCAGCAGTGTGGGGTGTCAGGTGGGAGCTGATTTGCAAGGGGAGCCTGTTTAAAAACCAGCTCCCCTTGTGGACCGGCTGCCCATTGCCTCCTGCTGATACAGAAGTAGCAGTGCAGGGTTGAAGCAGCCCCTGTCCTGGGCGGGGGGCTGAGCTCCTGGACCCATCATGAGCTGGAAGAGAGCGGGGCTGCCTGCCTACCTGGTACCTAATGCATTTTAAATGCAGAGCCGTAACAGGGATAGGTCCTGAACCCACCATGAGCCAGAACTGAGCTGGGCTGCTGGCTAGCCTGCAAAAAAATTGACTGGGGTGGGGGGGGCTTTTGCTTATTGGTTAATCGATTACGGCATTACATCCCTATTCTCAACATTTGTGCACTGAGCGGGGCTGCTGGCTAGCCTGCAAAAAAATTGACTGGGGTGGGGGGGGGCTTTTGCTTATTGGTTAATCGATTACGGCATTACATCCCTATTCTCAACATTTGTGCACAAAAGGGAGCCTTTATCTGAAGCAAGTGTGGGGAAGAGCAGTCTCATCTCAAGTTCTCCTTACTCCTCGCCTTTCCACTTCCCCCAGCACTTCCTTGGTGCAGGTTTTCAGGGACATCCAGCTTTTCTTCACACAAGCTGTGGAGAATACAATTGAAAAGTAGAACAGTCTTTGGCTGAATTAATTTATATCACCACTATTCCCAACCCCTTCTTTATCAGGAAGCCCATGGGAGTATAGCTCTCACAAGATGGGCTAGGAAGGCCCAATGGGGCTGGATGGTAGAACAGAGA